TCCTGCTGGATGGTGTCGAGGTTGGCATCTTTCTCTCCTCTCGGTTGTTTGTTTGGTAATCCGGAACCTAAAAGCGATATCCCCAGCTGAAGTATCCGAGAAAAGTCAAAATCTGAAACATGTGGTTTTGAATCTCTTGTCGGAACCGCATGCATCTATATATGCACCAATATTATACAGCTGAAGAAGTAAATCAAGATGTTGACTTTGTATTAAGACATGTGGATCAAATGTCATTGACAAATGGAAAAGGGGATGACATCAAAGGAGGAGGAGATTGAAGCGGAGCAAGTGGGGATAGAGGAGGGATCCGGAGAAGAGATGGTCTCCGATCTTGAGAGCAGAGGAAAGGAGAGAGAGGGAAGGATATCGGTAGTAAGCGAGGGGGTTGCCCTCCAGATCAACCCGAAGTACCATGGTAAATGAAGAATCGTACATATAAACGTGGTTTGCATTTATTTAACCGAGGTCCTGCTTGGATGGCTTGAACGAGAGAAACGTGGGTCTTATTATAACGAGTACGAGTTTAGTGGTACTAGTATTAAAGCATGTGGTGATGACGTGACGGGGTTGTAATAGTTAATCGTATTAATTGGAAAACAAAGTCAACGAGACTGAGGATGAAGCCGGGAAAGGAAAAGAAGAAGAGGATGATCTTCCTCCTCTGGTGGGTGTTTCCCGTCGTAGTGTCGGTGGCGGTGTACAGGCTCGACGGCTTCGAGCCAGCTCCGCTTCCAGCAGAGGTGCTGGCTGCAGCTCCACTGGTGCCACCGCTTATCAATAGCTGAATGCTGACAAGGTGGGCATGGGCCGGCTCAATAAGCCCGAGGACATCGCCTACGACCGCGTGTCCTTCTCATATACACAGGCTGCGCTGATGGGTTGATCAAACGGGTCAACATCAATGACCCGGCGGTGGAGGAGTGGATAAACACAGGCGGTTGGCCTTGGGACCACAGGGAGAGCTCATAGTCGCCCACGGCCTCAAGGTATATGACCCGATAGTGGTTAAAGGAATGATATGGTACTGGTGTAGGGGGTGATAAAGATAAGCAAAGATGGGAGGAGAATGGATGTGTTGGCAGATGAGGCGGAAAGCGTGAAACTGAAGCTTACGGACGGAATAGACGTGGCAGAGGACGGAGTTATATACTCACTCGATGATTTGAAGTTGGGCTTCTTGGAAGGGAAGCCACATGGGCGGCTTTTGAGCTACGACCTGGCCACTTCCTCCACTACGGTTCTCCTCTCCCATCTCTACTACCCCAATGGCCTTTCACTGTCTCCCCTTCGGGAACACCTCGTTTTCAGCGAAACCCCCCTGTCCGTTGCCTTTCTTTGATGTATGCATGCATGTATTTATGACCTGCTAAAATCCAGCTCATCAAAATTCGATTTCTGTTTGGCATGGTGCAATCTGCAGTAGGAGATGCAGCAAGTATTACACCAGAGGGGAGAAGAGAGGAAATGTAGAGTTATTCGTCCAAGGCTTGCCTAGCATCCCCGACAACATTCGGTACGACGGAGAAGGGCACTACTGAAACGCGTTCCCGATGGTATGGTTTAAGAGTGGGGTGATGTAAGTGGATGTGTTTGAATTTGTAGGGTCATGATGGATTTTGCGTGAAACAGGCAGTGACAAGACCATGGGAGGTAGTGATGAGACATTCCATGTTGAGGACAATCATAGGGATGGGATGCAAGTACGGGTTGCGGCTGGAAGGCTCCAAGAATGAATAGTCTTATATATATAGGCGTGTGTAAAATATTTAACAGGCTTGTTCGATGACCAACTGTTTCGTCAAGATCCAAAAGAAAGAAACAATGGAGGTAGGTAACAACAAAATTCAGCAGCAGCGGCATTTCAACAAGTCAAAGCACGTGTAGGATCTTGATTTTTCCTCAAGTTCGTATGCTGTAGGCAGCGGCTCTAGATAGTATCTCCTGTGGTGGCGGTGACCACAACAGAAGTTGTACAGATTTGTGCGGATCCCTCTGCTGAAAGGATGCACCCGCTCTGGTATATTCCTGATGTTAACAACAACAACAAGCCTTAACAAGTTGTTCTTTTCCTTTGGTGGGCAACTTCTGTTGTGAGTTATTCTACTAATGAGAGGATGGGGGTCGAATACCTCAAATATGGAATACGTCTCCGTCTCACGAGTTCATATGTGGTCTGATTCGTCAGAATGAGGTAGCTGCAGGAAATCAGATCATAACAGAAGCGTAAGAAAAAGATCCTCAAAGCAGACAAGCAAAGCGTCCGAGTTTGGGGGAGAAACTATCGACAAATGTGAAAGTCACCCACCTGTGAAAAAGCAATAGGAGCAGCACAAAAATCAACGAGATTGCCAAAATAACCAGCAGCAGTATGATGATCGCATCCTTCCACCTGGCCACATCCATGGGAAGGTTGAAGATCAGATCCTTTCTTACGAGTAAGAGTTGCTAGACAGCTTAAGATTTGGCCACTGCATGAGGAAAATGGGAAAAATCTCGTACCAAACCCTTGATATGTTATCCTTCAGGTACTCAATGTACAGTATGAATGTCCAGATGCATAGGGCTGTCTCTTCACAAATGTACCACCTGATATGATGGAAACAAGTTCACAAGTTATAAAAATGATGCTTCAGAATGCAACTAGTATCTGATGAATATCATAATATACCAACCACCCATGACTAACCCAGCCATCCATGTAGTGATTGTTGATAATTTCAAGACAAAATCAGCTATGGAGCTTACCAAAATTTACAATGGTTACCCTGGCCTATACATGTTCCCAGCCAAACGCAGTGATGATCAAACTGAAGAACACATCGATCACAATCATGACAATGTTTTGCTCGTGGAGGCTGCAAAGCATTATCCATTTAAATTAGAGCGAAAAAAAAATTCGTTTAAGGGGCCGCTGTACAATGAGCATTAAATCATACACGGGTTAAAGGCAAGAACTCGATCTTTATACCTGCTCAACATGACAATAGCAGCATGTCAAATTCCTACAACAGATAAAACAAAAACAAAACAAAAAAAACAGTAGACTTCATCAAGATCCATGAGGTAAATCGGTTCCAAATTTTTTAAGTTTCAGGTCCAGTCCTGAATGATAACAGATCAAAACATTCAGATGGTACATGAAATGGACTAGACAGAATTCCCCAAGATCCATGCGGTAACGTGTTGAATATAAGTTATATATACCTTACAGATGTTCCTGGGGGGTACATGCCCAAAACCAATTTTGGCCAGGATGTTGCATTACCTCCATTAAGATTAACACGCGAACCAGATTGACCTCCTTCCACAGTAACAACTAAGCTATCATTCTTGGCTCGAAGCAGGTTGTCTTCGCTTAAACATCATAAAAAAGCATAACATTAACACAACAGCGTGAGACTCAATGAAGTAAAACCTCTCGCTTGCATCTCTGATTTCACCAACTTAAAGAAATTTTGAATAACAGGAGCTGCAACCATGCTTACTTTGAGGTCGTTGGTGTTTTTACGAACACAGCATTTGTGTCGCAAGCATCCCTCATTGCATCGACAACGTATCTGAAAACAAGAAGGAAAAGTCTGATAAGCCATGTTTCACGTAGACAGGGAGAAAGTGGTACGCACATCGGAATGGATGTTGTAATTACCCAGGTGAAGAGCCAGAAGTAACAAAATACTGCAGCAGCGTGGCGAAAAACAAGAAGAAAAAAGAACCCATGTACCTGGGAAAGGAGACACGCAAAATTTAGTAACATTTACACACGACCCCACCCCAAGCAGCAATGGGCTGATACCGGGGATGTTTCATCAGAACGATGAACTAGGGTGCGAACAATTCCTGATTTGCGAGCATACCATGGATCTCGTTGAGTTTTATGAAGAAATTGAGCATCGAAAAGGAATAGGACGCCGAGGAAGACGAGGTGCAGCGCCACAAGTGAAACTTTGAGGAACAAAGATGATCTCCGAACTGGAGGAAGAAAAGTCGAGGAAACATCAGAATCAAACCCTAAAAAAGGATAAATTGGGGAATGGAAAAAGGAATACCTACCAGGATCGGAGAGACAGGGAAAAAGGCGGAGAGAGCTATCACGGGCGTGAAGGAAGGTGCTGCAGACGCCCATGGTTGACTGAACTCGGCCAAATCAACAAGCAATTTTGGGAATGTCTGGAGACGATGGAAGCAGGAGGCATTGGAGAGAACATCTCTCCTCCTTTGGGCTTTTCTCAGCCCACATCCTCCGATCCATTTATTTATAAGAAAGCCCATTCAAGAAACTTATTATTCCCATTTTTTTTTAAAAAAAAAAGAAAATTATCCTTCCATTCCACTGGCACTGGGCAGGACGGCTTCCTATCCATTGATGTAAGTCCTCATTCACGTATAAGGACTGCACCTTCCTCCTCCTCCGACCAATCCCATATAGTTTTGCAGGAATTACAGCCTCTTTTTCAACGTTCGTGGTTTCCCTCCATGCATGCATGCATCTACGTGTCCCAAAATTATTATGTGATGTAAGAAGAGAACAACTAGGGGCTACAAGACAAATGGATTACATCCTCAAGAAATGGGGCTTTATATAAGAATGATTGGCACAGAAATCAAGCAAAGGAAGGATCATTCCAGACGACATCATCATCCGAATTAAGAAAGACATTAATGGCGGATTTTGTATCTTCATCAAGGCTTGTTCTGTCCACTCCCCTCCTTCCTCGCCTCTCCTCTCGCAATCGGAATAACATCCTCCTCACCGCAGCTCTCAGATTCCGGTACGCTCCTCTACCTCTCATCCCCTGCATCACTATAATTAAAACCAACAAAAAAAAGTGTGGTTGAATTGGATGGATATGAAGGGGAAAGGCGATGGCGGCATCATCGCCGAGAGTGAACGCAGAGGCGGTGAGGGCCACGTCGGTGCCTGTGAGAGTCGCACATGAGCTTCTTCTTGCCGGACACCGCTACTTGGATGTCAGGTTTTATTTATAAATCCTTTCCACTTATCCCTTTCGACTGTATATTGTTTTGTCTGAATGGCAATTTGGATGACAGTATGTATGTATATACGTTGTGATTGTTAAGGACACCCGAAGAGTTCAGGGCAGGGCATGCCTCTGGCGCCATCAATGTTCCTTACATGGTCAGAGTAGCATCAGGTCTTTCAAAGAACCCCGATTTCGTTCAGCAAGTTTCGGCGCATTTCAGAAAATACGACGAGATCATCGTTGTATGTATATATCTGTATGTATACATGTCCTGCCATGGACATCATGTTCATTGAGGTTGAAGAAATTAATCATCTGCAGGGCTGTAAGATTGGGAAAAGATCTCTTATGGCCACCACCGATCTTCTGGCTGCGGTATGTGACGCATGTTATGATATGATGATGGCCATGATCAGTCGATAATTAAAAAAAATTTAATAACAAAAAATCAGGATTTTGAGTTGTGAGACTGAATAAATGTGGAAACCATGAATCTTGAAGGGTTTTACAGGCGTGACCGATATAGCCGGAGGTTATGATGCATGGAAGCAGAATGGGCTCCCCACACAACATTGAGTACATAATACAAGACCTTATACAATCATCGCATGTCAATAATATATATATATATATATATATATATAACATCGATCAGGATTAAATCCATACCATCATCCTAAAATATGTACTAATTGTATGGTTTGTCCTGAAACATAATTTCTCAATATTTGCCTTCTTTAATTTTACCAAGATCCACCTTCCCTGTCCGAGAAATTTGGTTCCAACAAATTTGGACACGTAAAGCCACCAAATGTGTACTCGTTAAGTCTTGCTGTTCCATTCAGATGTACACCTTGTAGTTTTTTTCTTCATAAAGAAGTTAGGGTTTCATTTTATGACATGAAAGAAATATAGAATATGGCCTTCGGGTATGGTGCGGTGGTTAGAGAGCACACGATGTTCCAAGAGTTTATAGGTTCGATTCCATTTTTCACCGAACATGTTACATTGGTTTATCTATTCCACGTGGTTTGCAGATTATTACGTAGAACTAGATGGTTTGTCACTGCGGCAGAAGGGTCCCGCCGTTTACAAAAAATGGAATATGGAGAGAGGAAGCCATGTTAGAACTTAAAAAATGTTCTCGAGATAACATGATACTAATAGAATATTATATATTTGTGTTTTGGGTAATTGTCAATTAAATGGCTGGAACTGACCATGAAATTGAATAAAATCAAATCAGCAAACATATTATAAAAAAACAATAACAAAAGGGGAACATGCCAACACGTTCATCAGTCTGACCAAGCAAGCAAAAGATAAGAAAAAGGAATGGGAGTGCACATCCCCATGTCTTAAAGCGACCGCTTATCATCATCGGCTACACACTTAACCCACAATCAGAAATTTTCCTTTTTCTCTTTCGTATATACAAATACATATACAGATATACATAATTTGGAGCAAGCTAGCATCAAAGAAAAAAGAAGGGGGAGAGATGGGGAGAAGATGGCTGAGGGTTGTAGGGAGGAGAGTTCTGAGGAGATCGGAGACGGCCATAACGCTCATCACTTCACCAGCCGACCCCCTTCCCTCCCTTCAGCACCTCGCAGCCATCAAAATCCAGTCTTTCTTCAGAGCTCACCTGGTGATATTTTCAACCCTTTCATCATATCCCTAATCATTATTATTATTACATCACACACGAATAATAACAATAATATCAATTGCATGCAATATATATATAATGAATAAAACAGGCACGGAGAGCGTTCAGGGCGCTGAAGAGTCTGGTGAAGCTGCAGGCGGTGGCGAGGGGGGTGTTGGTGAGGAGGCAAGCACGAATCGCCTTACACTGCATGCATGCTCTCGCCAGATTGCAGGTCAGAGTTCGTGCTCGCCAGCTCCTCCTCCATGCCTAACCTTTGATTCATCTTCTACGTACCCTTCTTTTCTTTCTCATTTTCCTTCTGAAATCCCTTACATATATACATACACATATACTTATTACACATACGGTGGCCATATGTACGTAGATGTTTTCACTGGTATAGAATAACCAAATTCTATATATGGAAATAGTTGAGTGAGTATATAGCTAACATCTAATCTTTGTTTGTTTGGAAAGAAAAGGCCTCCTTTCCTTTTACTCCACTTGATTTAGGGCATTTTTCCCTTCAGTACATGATCGGTTGGAATATATATATATATATGTATGTATGTATGTATGTATGTATGTATGTATATCATCTACCTTTGGGAAATAATACCCTAACGACAAGCATACAACAATTAGAAAGGCTGTGACACATCACCAAATTATCAAAGCTTTTTCGGTTTGTTTTCCATCCCTTTGGGAAGAAACCAAAGTGAAGACTTCCCATTTCAGAAGATCTGATTGTTTTCCAAAATCACGGTCAAACTCATCCCAGGATTCTTTTTCTTGGATAAACAAAAAGGCAAAATTTAGAGAAAATACCTATCTTAATCTCTTGGAGTCCTCATGATGAGTATCCCCAAAAGATGTCTCCATATTCCCTACAAATACAAGAAAAGCTCCAAAACACACACACACACACACACATATATACATGTACATATATATATATACACGGTAGAGAGCAGAAACCTTTCATGGAAGACATACCGGTATGTTATCTCAGATGGCTCCAAAAGAGAGAGAAAAAACGACGGAAGAGTGCTGAGATATTGGCACGGCTCAATCAGATATGACCAGAGAAATGAAATATATATACACAGGGAACATGGTAAACTAGGATCTGAGTGAACCAGGCCAATATCAGAGAGAACTCTCTCGTGCAACGTCCATATGAGAATATGACAAGGAGCGTTCTCGTATATTCCGTGCATAGAATCATACATTGGATACGGGAAACAGGAGGAGGAAGAGGAAGGAGTTATATGGTTTTCTCTCCCTGTCGAGGGAGGAAGAGATCAATGTATATGCGTATTTCTTTGGGTTGAAGGCATTAAAAACTCTCCCACTACCGAAGCAGAAAAGCTGGGCCACGGCATTTAATCCCTCTTCCCTTTTGCATTTGTTACACCCAACCAATCTGTTTCCGGATGGGACTTAGCCCTCCAGACACGGCCATGGGGGTGGGATGTTGGGCATGTTTCTCCTCGTTTCCTCTCGCGACTTCATCCACTAATCAGCTCTAATTACCCACAGTTGTTTGAGCCAATACGACACCAAGCATTCACAACTTTTGGGTCGTTTTTTTTTCCTATAATACATTTTTTTTATATGTTTTGATGCATATATTATGTAATGAAACCACACTTGTGCCTTCCTCTCTCTCTCTGGTTTTAGCCAAAAAGGAAACGAAGGGAGAGAGAGAGAGAAAAAGGGTAATAAATGAGGGAATCTGGGCGAGAGGAGGGACAGACACAGACGACAGGCATTAATATAGGTTCTCTGTGAGAGGCGTTGCCCCTCCCTCTCCCCTAACCACTTTCTCTCAAAATATTTATGTCCACAGTTTTTTTTTTCTTGTCGGGGGGTCATTTATTTTAATAATAGCCGAATATTCAAATTACCTTAATTGGACCGAATTAAATACAAAACTAATTATAATTTTTTTAAAACCGAAAATTTTAAACCGAACACGAATCGAACCAAAGCAAAAAACAAACAAAAAGCCCCTAATTTTTTTTTAAATGAATATTTTTATCTTAACCGAACCAAATCCAAAAAGGATATAACCGAATTCAAGATAAAACCGAATGATTATAGTTTTCTAAAACCGAAATAATCTAACCGAAATATCGAATAAGCCACCCTAGTTTCCTTACTTCCATCTCTCCATCGTTACATTCCGGTCATTCTATTTACCCCTTTAGCCCTTACAAAATCCACAATAACACATTAAACAAAATGCAACAAGGAGCAGTATATTCTACATATAACAGTTCACAGCCATTAGGAAATGTGGGAGATCTGTACATGTGGTCGGACATCCAATCATCCACACCTCATCTACACCACAGACATTCCAAGCACCCGGCTTTAAAGGGATTATACACCCTGCCTATACTGTATATATCGGCCCATACATACGGTATCCATCAACCCAGTCGGCATATGTACGTACACCCAACAAAACAGACGTCCGTGTGCTTTCTCTTATGATCCCTCAACCTCAAGCCCTTTCCCTGTTCCGGCTTCTTCTTTCACTCGAAAACCTCTGGCTGCCCACACACACACTTCACCTGAGCCTCTGAGGCTCCTCCCATTATATGTGCAGATATTATTTCCCCCCGATCATTTCTCACTATATAGTTACCATCAGCTCTTGTTTTCCATTTGCCTGATGCCCCTATATGCTTCACTTGTCGTAGCTGTCAGGAGTTATAGAACTGCCATCGATGCTTGGTCTGCAAGTTGGTGATTCTTTTAGCATCAATGTTGCATAATACAACACTGCTAATACGTATGGAAGTCTATAATTACTCACATCGAATCCAAGAATCCCTTCAATCTGTCTCTCCACATGGCTGCAAAGAGATTATCCACAGTGTGAGTGAGTAGGCTTCTCCCGTAAAGACAAAAAAAAAGACAGGATTGTGCAAAGTGATTTCCAGAGATACATAGATGGTATCTGAAGCAGTTTGTATTTACATATACCTGCATCGTTGTACCGTTCGTCTTCAGCTGCCAAATTCATATTCCTCACTAGTTTAAGCTCCTCCGTTAATGGATCTGCCCCCTCTGGAGCACTGAACAAGACACCCGGCTCACGTTTAGATCTGTGACAAAGTTGCTACCAAGATAACCGGGAGAGAGATGAAAAAACTAAAAAAACCTGTCAAGGATGACATCGAAAATAGGTCTTGTGCTCTGCGGTCTGCCTCCATAACCAATTCTAATAGCATCTGCCAATACAATCTCTTTGTTTACATATATTGGAGCCTGCAATGCAACAAACAATTAAAACTATTACGAGGCTGAAGTTTCAATGGGCACTTGAAACATTGAACATGTCGGAAAATCCATTTTATTTTCCTGGATGAAGAAAAGGGAACCGGAAAGACTTAAACGACAAAGAGCTTATCCGCTCCAATAGAGTAAACAGATGAAAGTAGATAAAAGTAAAGTACTATCTATACCTGGCATGCTTTTGCAAAATTAATGGCATCTGATGGTCGTGCATCAATGCTTATAAGATCGTCATTTCCATGCTGTAGAACAGATGGATCAATATGAGAAAAAAAAAGGACTCGTGACAAAAAAAATGGTGTTTATGGTCATCCAAATACCTTGCCAACACAGAGTTTTGCATAGTAAGTGTCGACAACTCTATTCGTAATCTTCACCATTTGGACCTGTCACACGAGGGATAATATATCACAACTTGCTACGCAGGTGGCCACAAAATTAGAAATGATCTATTTCTGGATCAAAACAGATAATGCGTATGATGGAAGCGATTGAATACTTCATATCCAAGTTTGTCCACAGCAGCAGCCACAAACTCAAATTGATCAGGGCATTCCTACGGACAAAAGCTAACGAATTAGTTTCGAAATCAAATCACAAAAGCATTAAAGAAATGCAGATTAGTGTTGTATGATACCTCATTCTCATTTCCACACGAAGCGTGCAGTAGTTTCTCGACAGCAGCATCCCCTGAAAGTGTACCAAGGCAGAAGTTGAGGCGCTGGACAGTAGAAATGAACAAGCACATATGGAAACAATTCATGTACCTACCCACTATAATGGGTAGCAAATAGTCACCATCACAGGAGATCTTCAAGAAAATTGTCGGGTACTTAAACTGGCGGAGAAAGCCAAGCGCGACCGTGGAGACACCGACCCTGGACTCACTGGCTCTTACCGCGAACGGTGGTGAATGCCTAGAAGACTGCCAAATTGAATTTTCTCGAAATCCTTGGCTTCGCATTTTGTAGTGCATGGTCGTCTCTGCTCTAGTTTAAAAGTTGTCCAAATTCAGTAACGTTGTCCATGAAAATCAAACGATGGATTATTCAACCACACTATCCAAAAGGGCAGACGAGGATAACGCCCATTCTCTCATCCGTATTATACCATTCATGGAGTATTATCAAAAGACTATGAAACTCGGATATTAAAAAAAAAAGAAGTTAAAAGACATTAAGCAGATCAGTGTCGGTGGAAACTTGAGATAGAACCCCTAACAGGGATCAGGAACATGTAATCGCAGCCCCACCGACAAAGTAAATCCAACAATACCTAAATGATCGATCCACGTAACTAGACACCCACGCATGCGAAAAAAATTGAATCACAAAAATGCAATATTGAAAAGAGAAGAGGGACCTGAAACGAGGACAGAAGCCTCAAGAAACTGGTGACCCCGATCATCGCCGAGGCCGGATGGGGAGCTGGAGCTTCCATGGCAGGAAATGGGAAGAAATTTGGCGGGAGGAGAGCGCAAAGATCTGAGGGTGAAAGGGAATGAGCATCGAAGGGAGGAGGAGGAGGAAGGGAGGGTGAAATTCTTGGGCTCAGGGAAGAATATGCGGAGATGAGCGGCGGCGGAGGCGAATCCGGGCATCGTCGAGGAAATTGATGGGGGAAGAGAGAAAAAGGATATTTTTCGTCTATCAAGGAGAGGATAAGGTACTTTTTTTTTAATGTCATAATTCAGGTAGATTTTTTTATTTATTTGCAAACCACGTGCATAAAACAAAAAATCCCTCGTAGTTATCTTCAAACGTCCGTCTTACTAATGGACCTTTACCATTAAAGCTCTCTATGGGCCCAGCCCAGTGTCCTTTTCTTTCCTTCTACAAATTCAACACGTGCGGCATTTCTCAACCATGCGAGAGATCTGAATATTTAAAAAAGAATATCTTCATAATGGGCCCATTTTGAGGGCTTCTTATCAGCCCATAATAGGCCCATTTATCTAACCCATCTTTCCGTAAAAATTCCTGATTTCAGATTCACATTTGCTGTGGTTCATCCGATCAAACTTGTTTCTAATTCTTTTACTGCCGGATCTCGACGATACATTCCTTCACGATTTCATGCATCTGTGAAGAAAGCGGATGGCGAAACCTAGGCATTATCGTCCTTCTGGTCGAAGATCCTCTTATCCGACCCTCGTTTTCGCTGTACTCCTCATGTTTACCTTTGTGATTTTGATTCTTATGGCGCTTGGAATTCTCTGGGTGCCCAGCAACAACCGAGCTTCCTCCAAAGCCAACGATCTGAGCTCCATCGTCCACAAGAGTATCAAAAGGTTTGCTGAGATCCCGATTCCATTTTCAATTTTACGGCGCCTTGTAGTTTGGTTTGTGCTTGTGCTCGGATCAGGCTTCATGGCTTAATTTTCCCATCTGGTTCTTATTTTCTGTGCGAGAAGTGGCGGGGATGATGCGGAGCGGTGGGTTGAAATTATCTCATGGGAGCCAAGAGCTTCTGTTTACCACAATTTCTTGGTAAGTCTATTAGATTTGCAAGATGTGCTTTGATTTGCATTCTGTTCAAACTTCAAAATTCCATATTGGTTTCATCTGTTTGAAATGTGCGCTAGCCCATACGTGCTCATCTTAATCGGTTCTATAGAGAAGTGCCCACCTCAAGGAAGATCATAGAAATGGGAAGTAGAAGGTTTTGTGTTTAAGACTCAATATAGGTTCTCTGATGTCGAACCTTTTGTCGGAGATATATCTTGCCTAGCTTTGGCCCCTCTTTCCTGGAAAGAGCAGAATCTAACTGAGCGGTTTTTCATTTGTATTCTTCCTCCTTCTGCTTAGACCAAGAAAGAATGCCAGTACCTAATCGAACTTGCCAAACCACATATGGAGAAGTCTACAGTTGTTGATGAGAAGACAGGACAGAGCAGAGACAGCAGGTTTTATACTTCTTCCTCCATGAATGAACCTTGAACTAGTAATTGAGTCCTCCACGGCTTTTCTTCCTTAACTAAGCCTGTCCTACTCCCTCCCAACTAGGGTGCGTACGAGCTCGGGGACATTTCTCCCGAGAGGACGCGACAAAATTATCCGGGACATTGAGAAAAGGATAGCAGATTTGACATTCATACCAGTTGGTACATGGTCTTCTCCGTGATTTCGCTCGAGGGCCTTGTTTGATTTTCTTCCCTTTCTTGGGGATTACAATTTTCTGGGTTTTCTAGTGCTGCTATGCCTTTGACCAATAACTTGAGTAGTTTGGCCGATGCTATAATATGCAGAGCACGGGGAAGGACTTCAAGTTCTGCATTATGAAGCTGGACAAAAGTATGAGCCTCACTATGACTACTTCATGGATGAGTATAACACTAGGAATGGAGGCCAGCGGACAGCTACAGTTCTGATGTATCTGTACGTAGCTAACTATGTGCTTCAACTTCAAGAAGCTTCTATGATCCGCTTCCTTAATGCTCCGTCATCACTGTGCAGGTCAGACGTAGAAGAGGGTGGTGAGACAGTGTTTCCAGCCGCCAAGGGCAACTACAGTGCAGTGCCATGGTGGAATGAGTTGTCAGAGTGCGGTAAAGGAGGGCTTTCCGTAAAACCAAAGATGGGTGATGCATTGCTTTTCTGGAGCACGACACCGGATGCGACTCTCGACCCGTCTAGTCTTCATGGTGAGTTAAAAGCTTGTAGTTACACGAGGTAACAAACATCGTTGATTCTCAAGGATATGATTCGAGTTCATTAGTGGGTTTGGAGCTTACTTTGGTGGCGGTCATCTGTTCAGGGGGTTGTCCAGTGATCAAAGGGAACAAGTGGTCATCCACGAAATGGCTGCGTTTACACGAGTACAAAGCTTGAAAAGTGTCTGCCAGTTCTGAGGAGTACCGATTAAACAGAGGAGGGGGAACATTATTTGTTTGAGATGAAGGGTATGAATGGCATTTGGTAGGGTGTACTATCATTAATCCATCATACATGGGGTTGTTGGTGTCTCTTCTTGTACATTGGTGGTGGGCTTCTACACTTCCATTCCATCTTCATGAATGTTTTTGAGTTATGTAGTCCAGGAACGGACCACACTATTGTATTGTTCAACATATGTGGGCCTTAAATGGGCCTTTTAAGATCCCCAAATATTGGCCCAACTTTCAACCCCCTTTCCTTATATATGAATGAAAAGAAGACCAATTCAATGATGCCCAATAATGAATAATTATATAGATGGAAATGTTATAATAAGACCAATTCAACTTTCAATCCTATTTCCTTTTTAAACGAATTGTTGATATAGATTCTAAAGAATCAAGATGAAGAATACCAATTCAACATGCCCAAGAAAATCAATAAAAGAATTACCAGCTGACCCCCACAACTCATTACAAAAAACAAAATAAAGATTGAGAAATGTGGTACCACCGTTACCAATTCATCAGTATAGGACAAATCTAAACTTTTGTCACATCCAATATTTATATTTCCCCCACGAACGATTCTCGTTTCAATTCAATCCCCCAATTTCCTTTTTTTTTTTCTAATAAATCTTTTCAAATATTCTTTTGTACGGTCCACATAATGCCCTCCTCGCCCCATCACTCTACACGTTTTGTCCTCCCACTCCGTTGACTTTGTGGCGTATGTATTTGTTTTAATAAAAGAACCTTTGTTTTGTATGTTCATTATCGTTATTCCGGTGTTTGAAAAAAATAGTATAATATTGTGAACAATACGGTTATTATTATTATTATTATTATAAACAGGATAATGCCATGTATCAAGCACAAAAAAACGCGTTGACCGAGAAATTAAGTATTAGAAAATTTGGCGGGCCCCACAGAAAGCGGGAGAAGTCGAAGAGTTGACTTTGCCCGTATCAATCAGCCGAGGAGGAGGAGGAGGAGGAAGAAGACGAAGACGAAGACCAAGAGGATAGGGGAAGAAGAAATACAACAACTACTAGTGGCATGAAATAAAAAAACAAGGATCTATAGAAAAATCAACAGCTCAGCTGAGTTCCTGGCTTGCTCTGTAATTTCTATCTGGAACAATGAGAACGGGTCAAGATGTTGACTCTTGGTGGGTTCGAGCTCCTCATATATTCAGATATCTCCTTCTCCAGGGAGCATCTAATCGTAGGAAAAGGGTTGCACTTTTCTCCAAGGAGTTGTCAGAATTTCTGGGGAAAACATCACAATGGGGAAGGAGAATGCAGGCCATGTGTTTGTGTTAATGTCTCTGATGATGGCTTTGTGGGGATGCGAGGCGTCTGGTAAATTCGGGTTCGATGTTCATCACGTTTTCTCCGAACCAATCCAACAAATGCTGGGTTTTGACGGTCTCTTGCCGGAGAAAGGGAGTTTGGACTACTTCAAGGTTCTGGCTCACCGTGATCGCCTCATCAGGGGCCGTGGTCTTATTTCCTCCTCCAACAACGTCCAGACCCCTCTCACTTTCATTCGAGGCAACCGTACTCTTGAACTCGATGCTCTTGGATTGTACGCTCTCTTCTTCTTTCTTTCTTTCCTCCTTTCTTCAGCCTTACACTTTTAGGTGTAAAAAAGGAATTATGATAGCATGCTTACATTACCTACTTACCGTCTCATTACTTACTGGAAGAAAACGCCTCAGCTTTGATAAAAATTTGAACTTTAGAAGAATCTTGTAACAAGTTACATCTAGCTTTTGAAACCTGTTATTAGGTGTACATATTGCTGGTTAGGAAGCAAACTTGCGTACCTTTGCCATTAATTAAGTTTTTTTCTTCATTACCCTCTTCATATGTCTGAAATGGAATGGAGGTCTGATGAAAACTTGTTTCAGCTTGCATTATGCGAATGTTTCGGTGGGAACTCCGGCTACTTGGTTTCTGGTGGCACTGGACACAGGCAGCGATTTGTTTTGGTTGCCCTGTAATTGTGGCACCACTTGTATAAATAACTTGAACGATACTAGACTCACTCAGGTGCTTTTCCTCCTCACTTTTCTTTTTAAGTTTAGAAATAGAAACAGAAAAACCTTCAAAACTATGCTTATGTTTTCACGTAGCCTGTAAAGCTGATAGTGATGGAAGCTTAAGCAATTTGTTTTCCTATAAAAGAAAATTTCTTTTTGTTTGCAGCGGAGTCAGCCGCTCAACCTGTACAGTCCTAATGCATCTTCGACAAGCTCGAGAGTTGCATGTGGCGACGCTCGGTGCTTCCAAGAGGAGCTATGCCCTTCTGCTGGCAGCACTTGTCCTTATCAAATCGAATATCTTTCTGCCAACACCTCATCCAGGGGAACATTGTTCCAGGATGTGTTGCATCTGGTCACAGAAGACGAGAATTTAAAGCCTGTGGAAGCTAATATTACACTTGGGTAATAACTGAGTCTTTGTCTTCCTTCCTTTAACAGATGTCCTAAGAGACCGCCCAGGAAACAGTGAAGAACTCTGACCAATGACATGACTTGTTTCTCTTGTCGGTACAGTTGTGGTCAGGTTCAGACCGGGGCATTCAGTAGAAGAGCAGCCGTGAATGGTCTTTTTGGGCTCGGTCTAGAAAATTACTCTGTCCCCAGCATGCTAGCGAAAGCAGCTATCACCTCAAATTCTTTCTCTATGTGTTTCGGGAACATTGTCAGCATTCTTGGAAGAATCAGCTTCGGCGACAAAGGCCATTCGGATCAGCTAGAAACTCCACTTCTTCACGTTAGACCAAGGTAAGTTGGTTGATGAAAGTCCTAGCTTTCTGTCTGTAGCATCTTATTTGATTAAAATCGGGGGAAACGCTTCGTCTTATTTTCTCATCATTTTGGTTGTCCTTTGGAACCGAATACTAGCCCGACGTATGTGGTGAATGTCACTGGAATTGAAGTGGGAGGAAATGCAATCAATGTTCAGCTGTTTGCACTTGTTGATTCCGGCACGTCATTTACTCAGTTGCTGCAGCCTGCGTATGACGCTGTTACCAAAGCTGTAAGTGTCTTGTTTAAAACTTCAACAACAACAAAAAAACCTTTTCTTTGTAACTTGTATTTACTATTTAGAGAGGGATGTAATATGAGGCCATCTCATGAAGGGCAATTGTAATTTCTGAGTATCAGTAAGTGATAACAGGCTTGATTCTGTTTGCAGTTCAATGCCCTTGTCACTGACAAGCGACTTCCGGTTGATCCCTCCTTTCCCTTTGAGTTCTGCTACGAGTTAAGGTCATCTCCGCTCTCTTGCTACTTAAATTCATTATCTTATTTCTTTCTTACATTTGAAGATCCATGTAAAAAAAATTCTTTCCTCAAATATAAACAAGCTCTTTAAGTGATACTTTCCCTCGTCATGTGCAGTCCAAACGCTACGACCATTGTTTTTCCAGCTGTAGACTTAACAATGTTGGGAGGATCCGCATTGAGACTCAGAAATCCGCTGTTCGTGTCGGAGTTTCAGGCAAGACAGAGATTTGATCTTCACTTAATTTTCTCCATAATGCATAATACTTTTGTCCCCCTAACAATCCACCTTACGAGTAACAGAACGGAAGTGCCATTTACTGTTTGGGTATTGTGAAGAGCGTCGATTTCAAGATTAACATCATCGGACGTAAGTATTGAATCCTGAATGTATATTACCAAAGATGGTATATATATATATATATGTTCATACTTACGACGTGAGAGCTTTTGTGGTTGTAATGCAGAGAACTTCATGTCGGGATATCGTGTCGTCTTTGACCGGGAAAGGATGGTGCTGGGCTGGAAAGAGTCTGACTGTGAGTACTACATGATATGTTCTTCTTCTTCCCTCTGCAGCATTTATCAATATCGTACAGTGACATGATAGATATGGCAATGACGACATTTTCCGATGGGTGTGACATCAGGTTTTGGTGATGAGGGCCTGACGACATCGCCGGCTCCCCCTCCGTCAGAGACGGCGGCTCCTCCCCCACGAGTATCTGTGGCCGATATGCAACCTCCTACTCCGTCTTCATCCCCCCGTCCTCCTCCTCCGACCAACTCAAGTGCCTCCTCTCGCACTGGCTCTGCTTCTGATCGTTTGAGCCCTCTCCCTTCTCCACTCTTTCTTCTTCTTCTTCTTCCTGTTATGGCCTTCCTCTAGCTACAATATCCGCTCCTTTTGTTTTCGTTTGACGCTTCATACTTTTCTGTTTGCTTTCCCCTCTTTCCCCAGCTTGCTTTTGTCAAGCGTTTTATTTTCTATCTGTAAATGATGTGCAAGTCGTCTTTTTTTTTTTTAATAATAAAATAACATCTGCAGTAATGTGACGTGTTTGAGAAGTTTTGGTTTTTTTAGACCTACGATTGGGTTCCGCACCCCGACCCAGAGACTAAAACGACGCCGTTTCACCTATGCATTTAATATGTAATCAAAACTTGAAGAAGAACGAAAAAAGAAATCGAACGGCTGTGATTCAGAAACCCCCGGAACCAGATCAGATTTTATTGATGGAACTCAAAAACCGCGCAGCATGGAATCACATCACCTTCGCCCCATCATCTCAATCCTTTTTTTTTGAAAAAAGAAAAAGGATTGCTTTGCTGTGTGGAACTCTTTCTGGAATCAACCATTATCAGCTCCGCCGCATTTCAATGGAGTCTGCTCGCTATCTCGCCGCGGTTTCCATTCCCGTTGCCAAGCCTATCACAGAGCTGTGGTCGTCTTCTTCGTCTGTTCTCCACGCTCCCTCTTCTCTTCGGTCCAAACCTCGTGGGCTTTCCGTCTTCGCCAAATTTCACGGAGTCTCGCATAAAGGTACCTCTAATTTTGGCAGCGTGAGGTATCGCATAGTTGATTTAATCACATCTGTTTGATCGGCTGAATCTAATTCATGAAATTTTCTGGGGGTATGGCGGCGGAAATGTTGCTGATACGATTAAACCGAGGGCAATCTAATGATTGATATCAGCATGTTGATGCGTTTAAATTTCTCGGGCGATTAATCTTCATGAATAATTCTGCAACTGCAAAGAGCTAGAAGATAATATCAGACATAAGCTTGAAACTTCAGATGTCATCTTTAGTTATGTCTTTGAGTTATTATAAGCATGAGAGTCTAATCATGATTTAGAATTTAGCTGTTTCAAGTTGCAGTCTTGTAAGTTGAAGAGGAGAACAGTAGAGATTACGGCTGTTTCTAGTCCTGGTGACTTATATAACATTCCGCACAATCTATTTTCCGGAAGAATTTAATGTCTCTTCGTTTCAACATGTTGCCACCAGCAAAGGCGCAATCAAGAGAGGCTGAGGTGAGTCCAGTCGAAGATACATTTTCTAATTTCAAGCATCTCCTTCTGCCCGTGACGGATCGGAATCCTTATCTTTCCGAAGGGACGCGACAGGTCACCATTCTTGAGCACATTTGCCCCATAATTTTCGCTATGGGTTTCACAAGTGCTCTTCCCATTGCTGTTTCTTGCACAAGTAGTTGGTTAGCTCTTTTTTCTTTCTGGGGTTTGACAAACTGCATCTCAAAATCCTTGATCAATTATCCTTCATTGGTGCCTGCCTCCTATGGATTTCTTTGCTTATTCTTTGAGTTTGGAACACTTTCTTTCTCTAGGCTGCTGCTACAACAACTAGTTTGGCAAAGAAGTATGGAGCTGATATTACTGTTGTGTGTAAGTACATAGATCCTGGCACGCGAATTGCATCAATCAATTCCTGAAGAATACTTTGTTAACATCGTCTTGTTCACAGTAATCGATGAACAAAAGAGCGATTCGCTGCCTGAGCATGAGACACAAGTATCAAGCATCCGCTGGCATCTATCTGAAGGTAGGAAGAGTTTGTTGTTTCATGAACACCCTAACCGCTGTGTTTTGTCCCAATTAATCCACAAGATCCACCCGAAACACCTCTCTCTATGTCAATCACGTAAATTTGGAACCTTTTTGGTGTATATGACTCCTAAGGATTGATTGTTCATTGGGAATCAAATTGTGTCTCTAAGACATCTTCCGACAAAAAAATGGTCAGGTGGGTTCAAGGAGTTCAGGCTGTTGGAGCGGCTTGGGGGAGGGAAGAAGCCGGTAGGGGAGGTGGCGGACGACCTAAGCTTGGATCTAGTGGTGATGAGCATGGAAGCCATCCACTCTAAGCACGTTGATGCCAATTTACTCGCTGAGTTCATCCCATGCCCTGTCCTGCTCTTACCCTTGTGACTCTCCCATCTCAGGTTTCGTCTGTTGTTTCCGTGAATTAAAAAAAATAAAATAAAAAGATACATCATTGTACTTTAAATAGCAATTATCAGTTGTGTTATCATTCAGTATTTTTTTTGGGGTACATCCAAAAGTTAAATGAAGATTTGGTTAAATTGGTGATTGAATGGGAAGGGAGGGTGTTTTGGTAAATTCCGAAATATTTGACCTGAAAGTGAACGGCGTCCAAACAGAACCTCCTTTTTAACTCTGATTTTTCCCACACTGTCACGGGCGCTGTCCGCCCTTCCGACAAGAACCTCCTCTCTGTTCGCTGTTCACCCGATGGCTGCTACGGAGAATAGCGCCCCAAATCCGAGCTCCCACACGCCTCGTTACTCCATCAATGCCTCCCTCTCCGACAGTGATCCTTCTCTCCCTCCTATGAGTCTCTCGGTTTCGCCGGCAATCGACAATGCTGGCAAGAAACCTGCTTGGTACAGGCCTTCCAATTGCTCCGCCGAAGTCAGGCCCGTGATGGGGGGCGACTCATGGCCTGCTCTCTGTGTTTCTGCCAGGGTTTCCTCTATGAAGTCTCACTCTTCGGAATCCTTGAAAGGCCTTTCTGATGGATCATCATCAACGCCGCCACTGCAGGTAGTTCCGTTTATCCGCCTCTCTCCCTCTTTCTGGTGTCACTGTCATAGAAATGAGGGATTGATTCTGTAACCAATATCGATCGAAAAATTGCATCGCTTTATATTGCCATTGTTGAACTTCGCTTTTGAATTTGCGATTTGTCTATCTGCAGCTTCATCATATGCTAAAGTTAGTCAATACATTGTTTGATCACCAAAAACCTGTTCTATGCACTTTTAGGAATGGATAATAGTTAGCATTTGTCTTGAAAATGCTCCTATATTTATACATTTTTCTTGTCTGTTCTCAAGGCTGCTGAAATTCCTTCTGCTTTTGCTCGGAAACAATCTGTTGGCAACACCAGTGCCGACCCCAGTGCTATCGCTACTTTGTCTGAGAACCATAATGTGAAGGGCCAAAAGAAAGCTTTTAAACGGAACAACTCCAACATATCTTCAAATACCGGCGTCTCTAACCATCAGAGTCTGGCAATGTAGAAACTCCGCCTTTAAATACCATCTCTTCGAGAGACAGCCAGAGGAGTGGTTCTTATGGCGGAGGATATCCACTGCACCGAAATTCATTTAGGAACCGTAATGGAGGGTCTTATCCCCGTGGCGATAATAGTGTTCACCAGCAGAACCATGGAAACAGGCGAAATGATGACCATCGTAACCAGACTGTGTATCCTCCTCACTGTAATCACAACGGGAGAGATGTGCACATTGAACCGCAGCAAGGTCTAGGGCTTGTGAGACCTCATGGGCTGATGGGTCCTCCGGTTTTTCCTGCTGATGGTTCACACTATATTGCAGGCCCTCATTTAC